GTCAACATACATATTTTCAGTTAGCATGGAAAATACGTTCGGATATTGTAACTTTTTCAGCGTGTACATTAAGAGTTGCTTTGAAAAGAAACGGATTAGATGTTGCTCCAAAAATTACCCTTGTCATACGAAGAGCCTTTATTTTGGTTCCATTTAATTCACCATCGTTCCTTAGAACCTTGACTGCGTTTCTGTCTTCATCAGCAAGAGAAATCTGCAAGAATGATTGTTCGATGTCAGCTGTAAACGCAATTCGATTTTGACGGAACTTAAGAAGCAATTCCAGTATGTTTGGACACATCTTGGGATCTGAATGTAAACAGTCATTTAATGACAAACAATTCTCCGCATGTGACGAAGCCTCAAAAACCACACGGAGTTTTGTAGTTACCTTGTTTTCTCTCATAACGACTTGATGTGGCATGAAATACGTTTTTAGTCCAATTTCAATGTTAGTCTCTTCGGCGATTCCTTCTTTTAAGTACTTATCAATTACTTCGCGATATCTGTCATAGAACTGTTGATTATTCTGAAATCTACGACTTAAACTCTTAAATCTAATTTTAAACTCTTAACTCTACTTTTAGCAATCTCCAGATTATCTCCTAGCTCATTTGAATTATGATTCCAGGGAAGGCGAACAATATAACGATTGTTTTCAAATTTCACAGATCTTTTGAAATTATCGAAAACTAAATTATCTTCTAATTCGAGTTCCTTATCCGAATCATAATTTATCCCCATAGAATCGAGCTCCCAGAGATTCTTCAGCAAACTAGACAGTGATTCGTTCTGTGTATCTTTATTATTATGAACCACAACCTTCATCGTATTCACATTAGTTGAGGAAATTCCGTAAGCCCTTTCTGTTCCACTAATGGTCCAACCCAATTTTGTTTCAACCGCTACTAAGGAATTAGACAGTCTGTGAACCTTACCCGTAACTATTTTCCAATAAAAATCCGCTCCTATCAGCAAAGAAATTTTCGGCGGTTTATTCCCTTGTCCCCATTCATCGGAAAGTTGTATGCCCTGTTTTTTAATAAGATTAACTATTTCATTTCTAGGGGAATGAATATGTGATCCATTAATGACAGGAATAAATAAAGCTTCTATTTTGATTTCATATCGATTCTTCGAATTACGCAAAATAAGCCTGTTTTTTTTTAACATTCTGCGCTTCAGACGTCGTGCAACCGAAAGAGAATATTTTTATTTTTTCTTCCTCCAATAACGGGAAGTTTTAATTTCTTACAGATGTCCTCTCTAATAAATGTTCGCTGCGATCCTAAATGAAACAACAAGCGAATGCTTTGCTGTCGCCAATTGCCTGTGTTTATAATTTCAGCTCGTGCTGTCAGAAGAAATAAGTTATTTGCTGTTGCGCAGTTGGAAACAGAAGAGACTACTGCCCCTTGGATGGGACTCTTGTCTGACGCATTCGTTTCGTAAGAGTGTACCAATGTATGATGTCGCTGATCGCAAATACCACAAGTTAGTTTCGATTTGCACATCCTCGCTAAATGGTATCTTTTGAGACACACAAAACAAATTCCCCTTCGCTTTAACTCTTCCTTTTTTTTCTGACGTATGATTTTCAGAACAGAATAAACAGCTATTAGATAGTGATGTGTTTAACGCTGCTGCTGAAGGAATTCTACCCTTATTATAATCCCAATTTCTTTCGCTGTCTCGAAAACGTTCTTAAAACTGCCACTTATTTTCAAAATGGGATTTCCTTTCAGTGACTTCAGAATCTGTTGGCTTAACTAAAAATCCTGTACGTTCTCGACTTTCTATTTCTTTTCTTAGAAAATTGAGCAAATTCGTAATTTTTGTCTGATTATCATCTTCATATTTCCTATTAAATTCTAGTGCTAAATCATTCGGAATCACCTTTATTAATATCGGATACAATAAGGTACTGTACGAATCCGGTAAAATATTACACGATTCTAATCCTCTAATTTGTACTTCACAACGATCATATAATTTTCGAAGTGCTGTCACATCGCAAGACCTTTTAACCGGAGTCAGAGTTAATAAATTGTTCATATGGGTATCTATTATTAGTTCTTTGCGTCCGAAGCGATCTTTTAATATTTTCACAGCCTTTTCGTAATTCTCTGCTGTTAACGTCAACCCTTGTATTGCAGTTTCTGCATCGGAAGTAAGAATTGACTTTAAATAGTTCAATTTATCTACCGCATGTAGACTTTCGGTTTTGTGTACAGCTGTCTCAAATCGTGCCCAAAACCCAGGCCAACTGCACACATCCTTTCCTGAAAATGTTTCCAGGGCCAGTTTGGGGAGTTTAATTTTGTTTTGCCATTCAGTGACAGTTCCATATGAAGTAGAATTAGCGCTATGTGGATTAGTATCTATATATCTTTTCGCACGTAATTTCCAAATAATAATTTTACTTTTATAATCTTCTCTAGACATTATTTCATCTTCTAAATTTGTTACATCAATTAAAGCTTCAATACCATTATCCGCTAAGATTAGTTCTTCTTTTTTACTAATTAACTGAGCAACTGTTTCTTCAATTACATTTTTATCCCCCTCATTAGCAATTTCTGTTTCTATCTTATTTATCAGCCTCGTAACTACTGCTTTTATAGCAGATCATTTCTTTTTTAATATTTCTAAATCCATGTTTTTGCTTAAGCAAAATCTATTAATCAATTCAGTTCAAATTCAATCCAATGGCCCCACGTTATGGTGCCACAATATTATTATTTATATCCTTTTCTTCTAACTGATTAATCAAGGTAAAACAAAATTGCTTACCTTGTTCCAATGGGTTCTGCCAGGGCCACAGGGCTGAAGTTCCTCTGTGAATATCTGCAAAATCTTGAAGTGGATAATCCATAAATGATAAACTTTCTTAACACAAACATATTTAATGAAGATGCAAACGGTTACAGAATATTTACATAATGAAAAGGTTTAAATGTTCGCATGACGCAGCGTGCGACTTCTCAGTTCCGAGTTCTCGTGATCTCTAAGTGAGTGTTCAGAGTTCGAGATGACGTCACTCAGCCATCGGATCTCAGCAAGAGTTGAGTTGCAACAGCGGGTAAATGAGGAGCAATCATGAAACTTTTCATGCAGCTTTTGAAATATTTACATTTAGACTATCATACGCAAAAAGGTAGTCTTTTATTTAAAATATAATTAAAATTTTGTAACTGATGAGATTTTGATACTGTAATTAATAAATCAAGTTATCAGCTTGGTTTGTAGTTATGTTCAGGTTGTTTTATTTCAATGGTTATGGTAAGGTATGTGGGGATACTATATTTGAGAAAAATCAGATTAATGAGAATTAGCAAAAATTAGTTGGTTTGCTTTATTTGATTATAGCAAAGCACACAGGGGCTACCTGTGTAAGAGGAAGGATGTGCTCATGGAGGACGATTTAAGGAAAACTGGCTCATATCCCTATTATTTTGATGGGGATATAAGTCAGTTTCTGATAGAAATTTCCCATTTTCATGGGGGAAAAAACACAAAAGTACCCATACAGGTAGCCCATTTGCCAAGATTCAGACTAAGTTCATCTAATAGTATGCAGTGGCTTTAACACTCTTTCAGTCACTGGTGGACTAGCAAAAATTAAATTTGGGTATTAACATGATACATAAATTTTAAGGGTAAAAGAATTATATTTGTAATATAAAGAAATAAAACGTGAATTAAGCGTTAATATAACATGCTTTGAAATATAAATATCATCCAGGGAAAGATATATTTTTTTTGATTTAATTTTTTTTCTTTTCAAATGAGGGTTTGAAAGACTAGAATTATTTAATAATCATAATAATCAATAACCCTATGAATCCAAGGAGGAAGAGTAGCAATTTAATAGCTGTATTTATTCATTTTATCTGATTTTTGTAAATCCTCTTTATATCTTATCTGTATTTACTGTAAAGTTACCTTTCTACATGAAGCTCAAAGTTTGTAAGTTGTTGTTAAAATGTGGAAATTGGGCAATGTTCAGATTATCTAGGTATTCTGCATATTAACTGTGCTATTAAGGTGAGTAAAATTGTTTCATTTCCCATATTACCTAGTTAATGTGCACATTACCCATTAGGCAGCCATTAAAACTAAAAATAAGATCATTATGCAAAACAGCAATTTTTGTGTATGCTTAAATCACCAGTCAGATAAATAATTTTGTAGTACTAAGTATTAATTGAAAATATGCTATATTTTTATTTCATATTAATTCATAATTTCATATAAATAATCAGCAGATTACAAATAAATTGTACTACAGTTTTTGAAACATAATATTTATTGATTGATTGATTAATTTAGTGTAATATCATATTTTCTCACATATTTTCCCCTCTTGCATATCTCCCCTAGCTTTTTTGCACCAGTTTCTGAAAATTTAAAAAATATTTACATAGTTTTTCTCCTTTATTGATGTGTTCAGAAAGACAAAACTTGCTGAACCTTTCCCTTCTAAGTGAAGAACTTCATTCCAGCTTAGTACAAGAAACATCCCATCGCGGCAAAGCAAACATGAATCGACATTTGATCTACTATTTTGGCCAAGATTCAAGTTACAGGGATATAGAAATGAAAATACTCCACTGGCCATTAAAATTTCAACACCATGAAGGAAAGCAAATGCAAAAAGAAATATTTATTATAGGTAAGCAGTATGGAATGAAGACAAAATGGTTAAATTTGTAAGCAGTTTGGGGGTTTACAGTGGAGCAAAATTAGTACAAACAGCTCCCACCCCTTGGCAGCTAAAATGGCCCTTACCCCGTTAGGCATGGAGTCGAACTGGGCTTGGATGACAGAAACTGCAACTAATTTTATGCTGCTTTAAGTCAATGCCATACTTCATCAACTGTATTAGCTGGAGAGGGGTGGTAGGCCAGTCTCTCAGCAACCTATGACTAGGTGTTTTCAATGGGTGACAGATTTGGAGGCCGTGCAGGCCAGGGCAACAGTCGAGGCTGCCCTAAGGCATGCCAGGTAAGGGAGTTCACATCCTCGGTGTTCTGTGTCGAGAAAGGTCAGAACAGGATGTGGAACATGTGGTCTTGCATTATCTTGTTGGAAGATGGCGTTTGCTAGGCCTCAAAGATAGGGCACAACCACTGGATGTAAGATGTCAGAAGTGTAGCAATCTGCATTCAAATTACCATCGATCTGAATTAGAGATATGCGTGTCATGTACTCAATGGCTGCCCAAACCATCACACCAGGGGCAGGGTGCCTATGCCGATATCAAAAGCAAGCAGGCAACGTGTGGTCTCCTCAGAGCCTCCAGGCACATATACGTCCATCAGAATACTGCACGTAGAACTGGAACTCATCTGAAAAGACAACATTGTGCCACTCCTGTATCCAGCTTTGTCGTTCTGTGCACCAGAGTCACCATCTCTCTCTGTGCTGCATTGTCAAGGGAAGTCGAGGTAATGGTTGCCATGCTGATAATATGCTGCTCCAAATGTTGAGGCACTATGAGAGGATACTGGGTGTGCTGCAAACACGCCCATTTACTGGCCAATTTACTTGCATTACTGGTCAGTCATGTGGCTGTACGGTTTTGCAGAGCTGACCCCACAATATCCTCTCGAGCATTAATCATGGGAGAGTGTTGAAGTTTTGAGTGCCATTGAGTATAAACCTTAGCAACCCATTGATTCCATATTCGCATGACAGTGGTTCGATGTCGACCAGGGCTACAGGCGATATCACGGAACGATAATCCGCACTTTCAATAGGCAATGATCCTGCCTCTATCGAATTCCGACACTTGCTGGTAAGCATTTCTTATTATTATTTGAAGCATAACCCAATATTCTGAGCAAACCCCAGCCTTACAAAGTGCTTTCCGAATGAGAAATCCACTACACAACTTTTCTTTTATGCAGTGCTTCAGATGATGTTTCTCCCTCCTGCATTGTCAAAATGCACTGAAATACTAATCATTTGCATATCACAACCTCTTCTTCCTTTGATGCGATTTTGACGTTCATCAGCTTATTCCTTCCTGGTGTTGCAGTTTTTATGGCCAACAGTATATCTTATCGGTTATTATACTGTTAGTATGATTATATATTTTTATCATATTGTAGGTTTTCTTTTAAACAAACAGTATGGTGCTAATTATTTTAGTTTACCTTGATTACTTTTCTTTTATTATGTTCTGACTGTAACCACATCCTTCAGAAATTAAATGATTTGCATAATTTTCCCCTCATGTTTGCATGATAAAATTAGTAAAAAAGGAAAGGAGAAAATATGTGAGGAAATATGCCAATAATCAGATTGTAAATGAAATATGCAGACAAATGTTGAATCATTAGATTATTTATTTAGTTTTCAGTATTTAAAAAGTCAAGTTGATAGAATCAGTCAGTGAATAGAGTACTGTAAATCAATTAAATGGTTTAAATTTGTTATTATGAAGAAGGAAATGAATTTGCAGAGAATATGAGAAAATTATGACAATTGGTGACTTTCAGTATTAAATTTGATGTTTGCAACAAACTTATGAGAAAGTGATGCTAAAAACAAAACACTCGTGACAGGAGCTTAAGAAAGTGGATGGTAAAAGGGGCGGAGAAGGGAGGAACCAACTTTTTTACTAACAAGAATCTCCCTTTTTTTAAACTTTACAATTCAGAATTTGTTAATGCACACACTACCTAAGTAAAGTGCAGAAAACTGTTATTTTGAAACTGTTTTCCACTTTAACAAAATGAATCGGATAATTTGCAGATTAACGAGGACTTTTAAAATGTATTTGTAACGTATACATTTTCTCAGTTTTGAGGAGTTTGCAGTATCTAGCAGCAAGAAATTCATCATAAATGATGTGTTGAGGTAACTTAAAAAATTACTAGTAGATGGGATTACTTTACCAGTTGCTTCGAATTCAGTCTACCCCAATGTATGTATGTTTGCCAAAATAATTTTTGAATGAAAGATAGTGCCACATCGCCTTTAAATATTAAATATTGATCTTTTTAAACTTAATATTAAATCAAAATAGAGAGATTTAGTGCAGCAGTAAATTAAATCTGCATTCCTAGCAGAATAGTTTTGTTAAATAAATAATACGTATATGTATCTGCTTAGAAGGCAGCTTAACATAATTTTTTTAACTGTGCAGGCTTTCTGTGAAAATTTAGAAATTAATTTTGTTGCTATTTGAATTTTATAAAGAAATTGAGATATATTATGGTATTGTGAATGGTCAAGCAATGATATCACAATATAATTACTCTTGCTTCTCCTCATCCTCCGAAAAAGTGTGCATAATCTATATATTTCATGAGTGTTAAAAATTTCTTCACAAAAAACATTATATTGGAAATTTTCCTTAATGTATTTTTATGTATTAAAACGAATCTATATTTCTTATATTGTACTTTCTCGCATATTTTTTGTCCTAGCTTTGTAATGCTAGGTTTTAAAAATTAAAAAAATATTCGCATAATTTACCAATTCTTCTGTTAACATAGTTTTTCTGTCTGAGGGCTAGGTTATTGGTCAGTTGTATTCCTTTGATTATTGGGCTTTGTCCCTGAAGAACTATTGTTTTCGTTTTGTGATTTTGTGTTGGTTCACTATAAATGTCCATTTTACTTTTCAAACTGTTGTCACCAAATGTTAGATTCCTGCGTTATATTTGAAGAAATTAAATAATGAAAAATCTGCATAAATGTATGTATATTATTATTTCTCGTATTGTGATAAAACAACGGTACATAGAGCCATCAAATTTTGAATGGCGTAATCCTACTGTGAATATGGGCATGTGGAAGCCCAAATATGAAGTTTGTAATTTGTTTTATTATCGATTTCATATTTTGTAAAACTTTAACTAATTTTTGATTAACAAATTCAAGGATTTCAAAGCAAGCAATGGCAACGTTGCACAGAATTTTTTTTTTTTTTTTTTTATCTGTAGCACACAAAACTCTGTATCAGAAATTATAATAGATATGCTCGATTTAAAACTATTTTGCGATATTGCTGTTGAACTGAAATTTATCATTTAATTGCGAAGAATGTGATATTTAATAAATAAAAGAACAGACAAAATGTTAGAAATACGCCCTTTTGGACGTAATTTAAAAATGAAACCTTTCAGATTTTCTTTTTTCTTTTTTTAAATTTTTTATTCAGTATTTTCAATTTGTATCTGCATTCTTATATTAGCACTTCATCTATTTTCCCTTAAATTGATCATCATCAGAAAAGTACTTTCTGTGGATTCTTCGTCGAGCTACCGAGATGTGGCAGGTGTTCCCAAGCTTAAAACTTTCCATACATGATTTCACCTTATTTCTGTTATTTACCATGTAGGTCATTGTAGTCTTATCTACTGCCAATACTTCAGTCTTTCAAAATTCAGGTCTTTTGTTTGCCGCCTTCTAACTTCCTTCATCTATTTTGCGATGTCCTTCTTGGAAACTGCAATCATGATGTATTGATGTAAGGTACCCATGGGGCTTTATGGAATTGAGCAGACATGTGACGCTCCACGAGATATGTTCAACTCAGTTACTTTCTGATACTGGCTAAATACTCATCAGATATGGTAATGTTAATTTTGCAATATGTTCGTATTGAAATGCAGGTTTCTTTGAAAAAAATAATATTGCAGTAGTTAGCCAGTAGTTTATCTATGACTACTTTTCATTTGCTATGTTTACTGTAACTGCATTTTTCAGAAATTTAATTACTCATATAATTTTCTGCTGTTAATTTTCAGATGATATAATTAGTTAAAAAGGAGGGGGAATATGTCAGGAAATTTGGTATATTATGCTCTTTGTATAAAGTGACATTAATCGTAAATTTCTGGTGTTTATTTTTTTTTACCTGAAAAGCATTGTTATAATCATAAAATTGAGATAAATAAATAGTATTTTATAAGTTGAAACTGGTTATTTTGTAATTGTATCCATGATAATTTATTATGTTACCTCAAATTCAAAAGTTCCTCTTTGAATGGTGTTTCTTCTTTGTGTGTGTATTGAAAATTTCTGGGCTTTACTTACACACTACCATAAATTTTAGAATGCTGTGTTATAAGTCATTGCAATATTATAAATAGGCAACCTAAAACTATTTTACTTTTTCAAAGTTTGCTTTTGAAGAGTGCTTTGCTTTTCAAATTTTGTAGCTGTATGAATTGGTAAAAGTCTGAATTTTTCTCAATCAAATTTCTTGTTTTTTAGCACTAATGCCTTATTTTCCTACTTTAGGTGTTATGAGCACCACACCGTTTGATCACCTTGTTACAGAATCTATTCGTAAAGGCTTTTATGGTGCTGTGAAACCAACTGTTCCATCTAATTCGCTTCTTGTAACTACTGGCTGTAATCCATATGTTGGATATTATCATGCATCAGAGGTTTGAATTCATTCAGTTCTTTTTAGATAATGTTGTGTCATTTTTAACTATATTTTAATTCTTTATAACTAGAAAACTCCTTCCATATGGAAATTTCTTTCCATATATAAAAATTGATTTTGTGGATGATAGTCATAGACCTAAAGATTACATTTAGGGCTATTTGAATTAAGGATAGAGACTGTATCAGGTGGTAAGATATGTAGCACCGGCTCTCAATAAGGCTTAAGTATATGTGGGAATTTATTTATTCAAACTCTGATAACCCTTAAGCATGTGCAAGAAATAGACATATAAGTATAATAAATAACTAAACTAATATAATTCAGGCTTAATTGTCTCAGTGCGTGATAGAAGCAAGACTAAATTTAACGGAACAACTTGTCATTAGTTGCCAAGCTCATGATGCATAACCAAATATGTATAGTGAAAAATAGCTAAATTTGATGATGATAGCCGCTAATTTTAAAGGTTTTCAGATGTCGCAAAACAAAGGTGAAATTTCCCAATTAATGCATTTTGTAAAGAAATGTGGAGAAGTGGTAATAAATGAAGATGATATAAAAGAAGTTTTTATATCATGAATGGCGAAATCTATAGTATGGTTCTAGATCCAGAAAATAGCGCTACCGATAGTGAAGAAGGTGACAGAGAGGTTACTGAAAACAAGAAAATTTCTATTGACAAGTTAGTCCGAATTCTCGAAACAGCAGATACAGGACTTCAACAATGTAACTAAACAAGAGAATATGTCTGTCTACAAAATTAAAGAGACAGCATTAGCACAAAAAACGAAGCAACTTAAAAGAATTTTATTGAAAGAAATGTTTAATAAGGTAAACAAATAAATATTAAGCTTGTTTTTTGTAAATTTTGATACCCTTTAGATCATAAATACTTCATTATTTCATAAATCACGATTTCATATTTTTAATTTTATAATTTCTATATGCTTATTTTACTAGATTTAAACTGATGATCTATTATCCAGAAAAATCCCAAAACCGGAATCGCCGAAGTCCCACAAATCCGGATTTTGGACTTTGTACTCTATTCAGTTATATACAGTAAACTGTTAATGAACCTAAGGGTTGTATCAGATTAAGAAAGTATGTATAACCTAAATATATAAAGAAACCTAAATATTGTTTTTTTTTTAAAAGGGGAAAATGAAATAAATGTTAATTGAGAGGACTTTTTTTTGTGCTTAATGAGCAAGTCATAGCTGGTTATTTTTGCATGGACAGTATTTGTCACAACTTTTTGAAAGTTTTGTAGCAAACAGTGCATAATTTTTCAGGGCTTCTCACAAAGTTTCTCTTTCTTGATTTGGGTTGATCTCCATTGCAAAATCAGACAGTTCTTTTTCCATTTTTAACAATTTGTTTAACTTCTTGCAAGTTAATGTTCCTTTCTTGTCTTCACTTCTCACTGCTTTCAATATCATTTGGCATGAGATCATTCAGTTCTTCATTTATTATTTCTCAATCATCATTCTTGATAAATTGTTTGACTACTCTTTCTTCTATATCTGAAAATCCTTCAGAGCCTGTTGCTTTCACAATTTGTATCATTTCTCTGGCTTCATTTTCAGTTGATGGAAATTGAAAAATTGTGGACAAATTCTGCCAGCACGTGCTCATTGTCTAGGAGTGAATACTGAATTGCATTTGAATGAAAATATACCATTGGGCAAATTAAAAGGAACAATTAAAATAATGAGCAAAATTGCATTCTGCAAATCCACACTTGGCAAGGGTTTATTGTAGGTGTGTATATTTGCATGCAGTGGTAAGCTATTTATTCAAATCATTTGGAATAATTCAGTAAGCTATTGATAATGTAATAAATTTTAATAATAGTATCACAAATAATTTTAGTTTTGTGACTGAATTTTGAAGAATATGAAAATTGAGTCAGAAATCTAATAAAATCTTAACAATAAATGCATGATAAAGTGTTTTTTTTAAATTAAAATTGAACTTTTGAAGAATTGGGAAAAAAGACTGAAAAAAGAAAGAAAGTTCAATTTTATAAAAGGTAAAATAATCAAAATCTTTCTTCCCTTTTCTGTCTCATTAACTTTTTCCTGTTGGCTGTATGAACCAATTTTTTATGTATTAAAGACATTTAGTCAGCTATTTTTACAAGAAGGAGCAGAAAAACACATCACCAGGGTCTTACACTTCCTACTCCATATTAAAGAGTAAATTTTTAATCTATAGTCTACTGAAACTTCTTGAGATACACTTTTTAATCTATAGTCTACTGAAACTTCTTGAGATACACTTTTTAATCTATAGTCTACTGAAACTTCTTGAGATACACTTAAAGTAGGAAACAAGCATGGCATCAGCTACCTGGAAAAGGTTAATCCAATACATATTTATAAATCAGACAATCAATTTGATATGTAGGAAATATTACATTATTACTTGTGTTTGTTTTCGTTTGAGCTTTGCATTATAGTTTCATTAAATAATTATTAGTACTTTTTCTTTCTCCGCCTTTGGATTGTATAGGTAATTATATTGGGTGGAGTATAATTATATATATAATATATTATATAAGTGGAGTAATTATATTTTGCATGTAAATACTAGTAGAAATAGAACTTTAAGAGGTTTCAGTAGCTTCATGTGGCAGTAAAAATTCTGTAAAACAAAAATGGGTCTCATTTTAAAAGTATTTAGCAAGAAAGATTAATTTTGAAATTTCTGTATATAGAAACAATATTGCTGAGCCTTATTTCATGGTAGGAATAGAAGCATCTCATATACTGTGTCTGTGTTCTTTTTAGTTTAGAACATAAGTGATAAGTGTTTTAACCCTTCACATGTGGCTCCTGTGATTTGAGTGGGGTTATTAACTTTATCTGCTGTAATAGATCATGTGAAAATCACAGAAAAAGATTTTTTCTCTATGATTTTGAGACAAATCTCACTCTTTCTTTGTGCAGGATAAAATTATCTTATTGTTATTTCAATGCTAGATGGCTCGATGGGGTCTGTTTCATTTCAGAAAGTTTATGCAAAAGCTTCAAATTTGGTCAGTAGAGTGATGAGCAGTATTCATCTTGCAGAAAGGTATTTTGCCAGGCATATACACCAAATTCTGTAAAAAGGAACCTAGAAGACAGCATGCTATGTATTGCTCCAGGGAAGATAAAAAGAAAGTATGCAAAGAGACTTGCATTTGGTTTGAAGAATGTGGAGTTAGGTTATGTTTGGAGCCATGCTTCAAAGTATATCTCATGCTGAAAAACTTAATATGGAGTAAAAATAATAGTGCTGGTTTTATTTCTAAGAATAATGTAAACAGTTTGTAATATTTATAAATAACTAAACCTTTTTGTCATTTTAAATATTTCTCTTTTTGGTATGTATGTATAAAGCAAGACTGATTTTTCATTTTTAAAAAAATTATTGCAAAATTTCTAAAAACTTTCATAACAAAGTAGGTAAACATTAAATTCATCTAAAAATAAAAAATATGTTGTTACATATGGCTTTATTGGAAAGATCAATCCAAACATATAAAACAGCTCCAGTATCACACAAAAACAATGATAAATAATAAAAAAGTCAAACATTTATAAAGTAAGAATCAGATTATATGAACATGGGAACAAAAGTAAAAAGTTAAAAAATTAAACAAGGAAAGGAACATAAGAAATGCAGTCTTTATGAGGAGTTAATGAAAGCTCTGGCATTCCAATATAGTTTACTTATCTCACGTGTTTCTGAGACTCTTCATCTGGTTCTCGGCATATAAGAAGATGCTCTGCATTCACGATGCCTGAATTGCAAATTTGACATATATTAGATGAAAGGATGCCAATTTTATTAAGATGATGTGCCATGCAATCGTCATCTGTTTGCAGTCTGGAGTTTGCCAGAGCCTCTTTACGGGATTTTTGACAAAACGTTTTCCATGTGTCTTGAATGTTAGCCCAGGATTTGCTTGTTGATTTTGTTGCCTGGTCAGATTTAAGGGTATCGATTAATTTCTCAAAGATATGCTTTTTAAGTGACTCTAGAGGAAGTGGTTTGCTGTCTTGTGGTGCAAGTGTTCCTCTCTTGGCTAGTGAGTCTGTCTTTTTGTTACCTTCGATACGTACATGTGAAGGGATCCATTGAAAAACGATTGTTATGTTGTGATTATAACGAAAGTTCAAGGCTTGTTTTATTCCTGAGATAATTTGGTTATCTGTATCATGATTTATAACTACAGCCTGGATGGCTGCTTTGGAATTGACTAGAATAACTGCTTTAGAGAAACAATTTATCTTTATTTAGAGGTTTTCCAGAGCCAGTGAGATTGAAAGAATCTCTGCATCAAAATTCGACATGAAGTATTCCACAGGAGTACATTGGGAAAAAGTTTACTGTATACACCAGCTCCAGTGTTATCTTGTATTTTAGAGCTATCAGTGTATACTCTAGTCCATTCAGGTTCAGGGTAATGTTCATGTAACATACATAATGTGTTTGATTTTAATTGCATTCAAGAATGTTTTTCTTTCCCAAGTCATATATATCTAACTGGTATTTGATAGCAGTATATTCAAGGGGATTAATTGTGACATTTTTACAATTCATTGGTTTGTTTTCATATATTTCTTGTAAAAATTTCTCACAAACCTTTAGGAGAGGGTCTTCATAGTACTTGGTTTGCATTTGTTAATCCAATGCACTCTATGTAATGCTTCCATTTTAACGTAAGTACTAACTGCTTGTTTCTTGATTTCAGTAGCAATTGGTGTGTTTGAAGTATAGCTTTTCATAGCTGTAATCGGGGTAGTTTTCATTGGCCCTGTGATAATTCGAAGAGCTTTGCTTTGGGCTCTTTCCAAAGAGTTAATCTTCCTTTGTGTGGTAGAGATTAACACCTTACTTCCATATATGAATATTGGTTTAATGTAAATGCTGTAAGTTTTATTTAGGGTTGTCTGTGAACTTCCCCATGTAGTACCAGCTAGTCTTTTCAAAACTGAGGAT